TTTTGTCTGATAAATCATAACGAATAATTTTGAATGATTCAAGATATTTATTAATGTTACTATTAGTTAAATTGTCAATCAAATTCAATAATAAATCATTTTCAATATCAATTAATGTTATTGAACGAAGAGAAGTAAATTGTTCAATATTGAATAGAGTAAAAAAGATTTGAAATTGTTCAGGTGTATCATCACTATTTGATAGAATAAGTGAAATAATTTGATGTGGTTGAATATGAATACATATAAAATCGAAATGTTTTTTAAGACAAGATCGAAAATTAATATGATATTTTTCATATTTTAATAAAGAACTATCAAGATAATAATTAATATTAGAAAAAGCATTAAAAATATCAATTGTTGATAAATAATGAAAAATTTCATGTAATAATTCAACGGGTAATAAATTTAATAGTAGATAACTATTCGACATGCAAATAAAAAAAAAAAAATTTTTTTTTTGTAATAAAGTTGAACTAATATTATTGCTATGCAATAAATATTTTCGTTATTGCGATGATAATATGCATCGTCAGCCTGTGCAAATGATGCGTGAAATGAAAGAAAAAAAAACACTTTGCACATGGACTTTTGTACAGAATGGTAAAGAAAAGGGTCAATAAGTGCGGAAATTGATCCACTCGATAGATCTGGTTTCTTCTATGCAAAACAGTTACACAAGGTGTTCCAAAATCATCTATAGTACATCATGATGTAAAACGTGAACTTTATAGAAAAAATACATTAGAGTCCAAGAGATGCTATCGAGCTTCTTACACAAATTTGAAAAATACATTATTTGGACGATAGCTTCAAGTCAAGCTATCTAAACAATCATAATTGTATCAAAATAACGACTGCTAGCAGATACTCTTTAGTTGCAAACGATGAACAATAAGGTACAATTGCTGTTTCAGAAGTTCCTAAGACTGTATTATATCCATATTTTTCTTTGAACTGAAGTGTTTTCTCATGTTTTTAACTTCCAGTGACTGCACGTTCATTAATCCACATCGATTATTATCCTTCATGTGATTGAATAGATCAAATTTAATTAACACTACAAAGATGTTTTTTTTTATACAATTGACTATTCGATCGTGCTCTTGTGGCATAAGTGAACACGCATCTGACTTTGAACTGGTAGTTAGATGGCTTGGGTTCGTTCATCAATCATGATTACTTAATCATTCTGAGTGTCAGAGTCGAATAAGATCGAATAATGAATCATTGTTGAATGGATTCTTCCAATTCATCTAGAAACTGCGTATGGAAGTGGACATGTTTCTTTCTATTGATCCATACCTTCGTTTCGACTGTCATTATTAAGATAGATGTTTATAATTAGTTTTACAAAGAAAATATACATGACTAGGTAGGTGAGGACAGACCCGTTACCAACAAGTGAAATAGTTATGTTTAGAAGTTAATAGCTTGTATATTTAACATTATTATCATGAATCTGAATAAGTAGAATGCATATTTATTTCTATGTATGAATTTCAAAAATTCAATTACATCTTCTATTTTGTTGAATAAGAATGAATTGAACTTCAAAAAAAAAAACAAAAAAAATCTTTTTTTATTATATCATCACAAAGAATAAGATTGTACATATGCACAAGAAATATTGTTTTTTTTTGCTATATACATTATGTGTAATAAAATGTTTTCTTAACATTAATTCCATATTCTCCAAGAACATGTGTTAATTCATTAAGTGTTAAAGTTTGATTTGTTGATGTTATTGGTTTTTTACTACTAGCTGCATTTGTCGATTGATCAGTAGTTGTAGCTATTGCTTCAGTTGTTGAAGGTTGAACATTTGCAGCTGCCACTGCTGCTGTTGGTGCCGGTCGATTAGTGGATTTTTCACGTATTTTATGTAATTGAAAACAATCATTAATAATATCTTAAAAAAATAAATCAAACACTTGTTTTTTTTTTGTATGATTTTCTTCTTATATTAAAATACCTGTCATAAATTTTTGTACAGAAACAGACATTAATTTAATAACTCGATCATCATCTGTTTGTAATCCACATTGTCTCATATAATATTTTGTAACTGTTTCTGGTATAGCAGGTGTAAATTGATCTAATGTTGATGTAAATTTATTTAAATCTTCATCATCAACTAATGTTTCATCACCACTTGATGATGAATCTTCAATACTCTCAGTCATTTATCTATTAAAAAATAAAATGCAAATATCTTTTTAATAAATGCTTTATTTAAGAAAAAATTTTCAAGAAATTTTTTTTTTTTATTCTTTTATCATAACACCAAACGTCTATAGAAAAAAAAAAATATTGCTGCTTTTTTTTTTGTTGTTTTAAAGGACAAGACATTTGTCAGCAAGAACGAATAGATGATACCATTGAATACCATGATAAACAACGCCGGAAACAATTGATATTGAATGAAATAAATTAAATCTATTGTTCACAACACGATACTTCGAATCATTACGAATTAATCGTTCAATATCATCACTTGTCTATAAAATAAATAGAAAATTATTTATTAAATAAACCAAATAAATATATATATATATACTTTAGCTGCTTGTAAAAATTCAATATTATTTCGATCAAACATTAAATTTGTAACCAATGGATTAAGAACAAGACTATTAAATTCAACTGCAGCTAATGCAACAAATAATGCAATACCCTATTAATATTTTATTACTATAATATGAGCGTTTTTGTTTTTGTTTTATTATACAAACCAAATTTCTTGCGTCTATTGACCATGTTTTTATTGGATGATGAAGTAAAAATGTTCCTAAACTTAAACTAGCTAATACAGATGATGATGCAAAATAAACATCTGATAAATATGATTGTACTGTTGCAAATTCTTGACGTGTTAACATACGTTGAACAGCACGACCTAAATAAGATTATTAAAAATCATAGAAAAAGAAAAACAAAACCGAATTCATTCTACCATGAACAGTTGTCATCCAAAAACTAATACCAAATCCACCGGCAACACCAATTAGATGTAAAAATGAAACTTTAGAAGATGATATAACAGGTTCATTTTGTAACAAAGTATATCCAACATAACCTAAAGCACCGAGTGATGTAAGAAATGATGGAGATAAATACCTGAATAAAATTAAAATAAAAAAAAAAATATTAAACAAAATAAAGATTATTTTTATATTAACCAAGCTTGTGGCCATGTCTTTTTATATGTATCATGGATAGTATCTTCAGCTTTGCTCACTTGTGCTCCCATTGTATGATTAGTTGCTCTTGTAAATAACGATAATATCGACAATATATGAATGAGAATGAAAAAAAAAACAACGTCATTTATTTGGTTTTGAATAATAACTTGACAATGGTGAATTTAGCGCCACCTTTTATATAATATAACAAAAAAAAACTCTATGTCTCAAAATATGAACATTTCACTAATATTAAGAACATAACTGTTGTAATTCTTTTTATTTCCATAATTTACATTCATATTCATTGGTACAAAGATCGTTGATTGAAAAAAAAGAAATATCTGATTGATCAACAATAAAACCAATGAGAAAAAATTTCGAATATCAATTGTTCATTGATTGTATTCATGATCAATCACGAGATATAATCCAAAGTATATGGAGATCGTCAAGGGACGAAGATCGAGCATGGTTTTTTTTGGCAATTAATGATGTAAAACGCGTAAAAGTTTGTTTGGAAAACTTTTAAAAATAACATTGATATATGTATTAATGAATTTAGTTCTTGAACAAACTATTGACGATACTAATATGTTTATTAATAAATGTTCAATTATTGTTTTGTAATTTTTTTTCTTATAAATTTTTAAAATAAATTTATTAATATCTATTTTCTAGACGAAAATGGATAACAAACGAGACATTAAACAACAAATGTGATGTACTACAATATTACATCATTAGTATGTTAATCATGTAGATTATTGATCTTGTTGAGTAAATATTCTCATTCAGAAATTGATGACAATAGTAAAAAATAAAATTATTGTATCGAATATCATAGTCTTTTGATTACATATATATATATTCAATTAAAGATGGATGATATCATTCATATGATTGATTTTTATTCAAATTTAGTAGCATATGAAGAAGGATTAAAATATATTCATATAATGTTACATACAGACAATAAAACAAGTTACTCTTCTATTTTTATTTTATAGTAGAATATTTTTGTCACAATATAAAGTTATGTATGTAAAAAAAAAATAAAAATTGATCTATATTTGGTAATGCAATAAGAATTAATACTGATTCATTTGAGATATGATATTGTTATTATGAAACTAGAATAATGCTCGTACGTCAATTTATATATTATTTTAAACTTTAAACAAAGATAAATAAATCAATTATTTTTCTAAATAGAAAATTTGTTTTTTTTTTATTTTGATTTTAATGACTTTCGTATAAAGTTTATAATAAGAAATGAATTGAATGTGAACGAATTTTCTGAAAACAAATTTACAAAATGACACAAGTAATGAAGAATTTTGATTAATTCAAAGAAAAAAAACGACAGAGTTGGGACGAAAGGTTTATTTTATGTTACAAACGGGCAAACATACAAAATTCAGACTCTAGTAAATTGATAATGCATTTAAGTAAAGAAGAACACAATTCATTTTTTTAGTCTACGTTTAAGCTGAGTTATTGTCTTTTCAATATCCAATAATTTGATTATCACATCATAGAATCTCTATTCTTTTTTCTGTTCGACATTACATATTGCTTTCATACAACTTTATCTAGGCACCAACACTTTATCATTAACATTCACATACGTCACTAAGTATGAGTGTGTGTGTTTATTCTTTTTCTCTCTTCGTGCTTATAAATTAAAACCTTTCTTTTATCTTACTAGTAAACATATACATCATAGATACGTTCTTTAACATGTTTTAATGAAAAAAAGAAAAGAAATCTTATATACATATTTGTTTTATACTTTATTTAAGAATATCAATGACTACTTGTTATTTATCGAAAGACCAACAAATTGAATTAACTCAAATAGCTCAAAGTTTAGCTACATTGGGTAAAGGAATTTTAGCTGCAGATGAACCAGCAGGTTTGTTATATAAAAATTTATTTTTTTTTGTTATTGAAAAAAAAAACTTATTTAGATATCATTGAATCACGTTTTTCACCAGTAAATATTGAAAATACTGAAGAAAATCGTCGATATTATCGTCAAGTATTATTTCGCACAAAAGAATGTTCACAATATATAAGTGGTATTATATTATGTCATGAAACATTTCATCATAAAACTAATGATGATAATACATTATTTCCTCGTTTAATAAAAGAAAATGGTATTATAACAGGTATTACAGTTGATAAAGGTTTGGTTGTATTAGGTGGAACAGAGAATGAAACAATAACACAAGGTTTATAAAAGAAAATTAAAATTAAAAACAGAAGAAAAAAAATAAAAACCGATTATTTTTTCGTTAATATAGGTTTAGATAGTTTGGAAGAACGATGTCGAGAATATAAAAAACTCGGTGCACAATTTGCTAAATGGCGAGCTTTAATTAAAATTAGTCATCATACTCCATCACAATTAGCAATTAATGAAAATGCATCAGCACTTGCTAGATATGCTTCAATTTGTCAACAGGTAAATATCGAATGCATCAAAAATTTTATGAATCAGGACATATTCCTAAGAAAACTTCTTTCCTCTTGCGATTCTAACAAGGCTGAAAATCGATCAGTAGAGACTAGTAAAAGTCTAGGACTTCATTAGTCTCAAATAAAAATAGATATAAAGTTCTGATCATTATCTATAGGTTTTTGACTACTTGAAAACATTTCAAAGAGAGTCAAAAATTTTGATGCATCCTTTATTTTTCACTTAGTTAAATGATTCTATTTATTTTTTTAGTGTGGTCTCGTACCTATTGTTGAACCAGAAGTATCTCAAGATGGTGATCATGATCTTGAAGAATGTCAACGTATATCTGAAAAAGTTTTAGCAACAGTTTATAAAGCATTAAATGATCATCATGTTTACCTTGAAGGAACACTTCTTAAACCTAGTATGGTTACTCCAGGTAAAAATAAAAACAAGATTTTGAAATCGTAAAAAAATGAAGTGAAATTGCTCAATAGTTACTAATATTATTGATGAGAGAAATTTACTCTTTTTGAAAATTTGAACACTACCACTTAGGATAATAACTAACATGACAAATAGTCAAGTACTTCTACTCGATTTACACTACTAATGTGGAAACATATATTTTCCTATCAGTCAGTAGATAAGGAATAGTGAGCGTGTTTAGAACGCGACGAGGATGGGTCTTGATCGGAAATTTTGTACTCTTTCTTTCTATTTACCTACATACACATCAGTTATGAATACTCATTGTGAAATCTTTTACGCATATGATAAAAAAAGGTATCAAGCAGCTTAAACCTTTGGTTAATTACTATATCTATAGATAGACGTATAAGATGCTGCATTATTCGAAGGCGGCAATTGACAACTTTCTTATCGATCATGAAGATCGAATATATTTAAAAACTTACTATTTAGTTTTATTGAATATACCATGACTAATGTCTGTGCTAGTTTTTAAAAAAATGGCGATCTATGACTTTCAGCAATCTATATATTTTGCAGATATGATGAGTTGCACAATGATTTTATCGTATATAGCGCCAGATAAAAAGACGTTCGTTGTATTTTTCTTTTAATTTCTGATTATCATAATTCGTTTGTCGTTCTCTCTAATTATTGAACTTACATCTACATTCATAAGAAGAACATTCTTATTTCAAACTTCTTAACTCAATTTTAATAAATCTTCTAGGTAAAAATTCAACAAAGAAATATTCAATTGAACAAATTGCAGAAGCAACTGTTATTACATTTCGTCGAACGGTACCAACTGCTGTACCAGGAATAATGTTTCTTTCTGGTAATGATAATTAATATAAAAGAATTATTTAATATTTTCTTCATTTAGGTGGACATAATGAAGAAAATTCTACACTTTATTTAAATGCTATTAATCGTGTTCAACTTTATAAACCATGGATATTATCATTTAGTTATGGACGTGCACTTCAATCATCAGTTTTACGTGCTTGGAAAGGTGATAAAGCTAATGATGAACAAACACGAAAAGAATTTCTTCGTTTAGCTAAAGTAAAAAAAAAACTTTCATTCAAAAAGAAAATAATATTTTATCTTTTTTTTTTTAGCAAAATAGTCTTGCTTCAATGGGAAAATATGAAGCAGTTGTTTAAATCAAATATATATTTTTTTTTGCATTAAACATTCCTAATAATAAATAATAGATCGATTAAATTGATTATGATTATTTTCTAGATTATGTTTCGTCATAATTCATCATCATCAATGAAATATATATTAGTTACTGGTGGTGTTATTAGTGGCATTGGTAAAGGTATTATTTCGTCAAGTATTGGTACAATACTTCGTTCTCATGGATATCGTGTAACATCAATTAAAGTATTATTGAAAATAATATTATTTTCAATAATAGAATAATTATTGATTTTATTTAGATTGATCCATATATAAATATTGATGCAGGAACATTTTCACCATATGAACATGGAGAAGTTTTTGTACTTGATGATGGCGGGTAATTTACTTTTTTTTTTTTTTAATTAGAATGAAAATAAAAGTATTCATTCTACACTAGACTAAAGATCTAATCATTTGAACTAAATTGTATTATAAAAAAAAATTGATAATTATATATAAACTATATCAATAGAATTGAGATATTTTAGAATGTGAAATACATCATATTTTATTGTAAAATATCGGTAAGAGAATATTTGCTAAATGTGTGTCAAGCTTTAAAAAGTTTTCAATATGCTTTAATGTGCACTAGAAAATTTGTTTTTTTCAATTAATCGATTATCTTGAAAATGAACTTTTTTGTTAGGAATAAATTAGACAAATTGCTTGATTTAAAAACGAAAAAAAATTTTTTTTTTTATTATTCGTTTCTAGTGAAGTTGATTTAGATTTGGGTAATTATGAAAGATTTCTTGATGTAACATTACATCGTGATAATAATATAACAACCGGTAAAATCTATCAATATGTTATTGATAAAGAACGTCGTGGTGATTACCTTGGAAAAACTGTACAAGGTTAATTAAATAACTTATATCTTATTTTAATATATTAATTTTGTTTTTTTTCTAGTTGTACCACATATAACAGATGCAATACAAGAATGGGTTGAACGTGTTGCACGTATATCTGTTGATGAAGATAAAGCTGAACCAGATATATGTATAATTGAAGTAAGATTGTAAAGAAAAATTCTCATATGAACATATATTATTTTTACTTTTGTAGCTTGGTGGTACAATTGGTGATATTGAAAGTATGTCATTTGTTGAAGCATTTCGACAATTTCAATTTCGTGTAAAGAAAGAAAATTTTTGTTTGGTTCATGTCAGTCTTGTTCCACAAGTTTGTATTAAATAGAGATTATTTTTGTTTTTTTTTTTGTATAACATCTTTTTTTTTTTATTCCTATAGCCAAATTCAACTAATGAACATAAAACTAAACCAACACAACATAGTGTAAAAGAACTTCGTGGTTATGGTTTAACTCCTGATCTTGTTAGTAAATACTTTTGTTATTTCAAAATAGGAATTGATATCTTTCTCTTATTTGTGTGTATGTCTAGATTATCTGTCGATCTGCTACACCAATGCCATTATCAGCTAAAGAAAAAGTTTCAATGTTTTGTCAAGTTGATAAAGAACATGTAAATAAATAATATATATTTTGTTTTTTCTTCGTATCTCTATTAAATTATTATTTTTATTCTATTCAAGGTTATTTGTATACCTGATGTCAAAACATTATTTCGTGTTCCATTATTAATGGAAGAAAATGGTGTGTTTAATTTTTTAACAACACGTCTTAATTTAGTTCCAAAATCAAATTATGATCGTTCACTTATGATTAAATGGCGTGATCTAGCTGAACGGTAATAAATATTCAATCAAAAAAAGAAAAAGAAATACAAGAAAACATATATAAAAAGACTAAATCATAAATGATACTACAGTAGTATTAATCAACCTGTTGAATTTGTAACAGTAGTTGTATTTGTAACACTACTTGTATTTGTAATAGTAGCTGGATTTAAAGTATTAGTTAAATCTATATTACTGATAAGACCAGCTGCACCAATACCGAGACCTAATCCTAATATCATACCAATAAAAATAGTAGCAGCTAGAACACTAATGATTATTATTAATGTTTTACCACCGGCAGCATTTTGTTTTGGGATTCGAGAAATTGGTGAAGGAACAAGTGGACTAAGTTGAGCATAACCATAAGGAGCATTGATATTTGGATTATACATTATGCACTTGAATATGTTCTAATCATTCGAGCAATAACAACAAAATAAAAGACACAAACTTCTAATTTAGTTGTTATAGTTATAAGAACACAATATAACTATATGTTATTACTCTATGAGGCGTGACAACGATATTCAAGAACAGCAAAAAAAATAATTAAGAGAGAACTAGTGATATCATAGAGTAGTCGAAACACGGTAGTTAATTTTCTTTTTTTTCTGTACTCGACATATCAATGTCTCAAATCATCAACCTAAAAATATATTTCATGATTGTTTTTTCTTTGAAATATTAGTTACCACCGTTTTTTTTTATAGGTATTCTATTAGTATGACAAATAAACAATAACAACAACAAAAAAAAAATACACCTGGTTAAAAATTCCGTTTGATTTCATTTCAATAAATTACTCAATTGTTTTTATGAATCATATTACAAAATAGAAAATTAATAATTCAACAAAATGAGCTATTTCAGTATAATATAATGAAATAAATTATTATATGTTTAAGAAATATTCAAAACTAAATGGTATCTTCATAGCAAAACAGGACGTACATCTCTCTCTTCTATTTTATAGTTTTGGTCAATAGAAAAAAAAACGGCATTTAAGCAGTTTCTATTGTCATTATACAATTTTAAGACAAACTAAATACGATATATCTTTTCTTGTATAGAAGAACTATTAAATAGAAGAAATATAAGTCCAGTTTCGCTACGAAGAGATCATTTAGTATTCAATAATTTCTAAACATTTATTATAGAGAATACAAAATTATCTTGGATATACATATATAATTTAATTTGAAACTCTCTAATTCTCAGCTGCAATAAAAGAGAAATTTTTCATTCATATTGACATTATAAAAGCTGTTGACAAAGGATTTTTTTTGTTCAGATAAATCGAAGTATTGAATATACAAAAGAAATATATAAAACTATTTATCATATAAAAATTTATTCTTATTTTCTTTTCATTTACAGAATGGAAAGACAACTTGATGAAGTTACTATAGCTCTTGTTGGAAAATATACAGCATTAGAAGATGCTTATGCATCTGTAGTTAAATCACTCAATCATGCTGCACTTTTTTGTAATAGAAAACTAAAAGTGCTTGTAAGACATTAATGTTTTTTTTTTTTTTTGTAATTTTTCATTTGTATATTTATAAATTTTATTTAGTTTATTCATGCTACTGATTTAGAAGCCAATACACAAAAAGATGATCCAGTTAAATATCATGAAGCATGGCAACAATTATGTAGTGCACAGTAAATATAATGTTAATATTTTTAAATTAATTTTCTATTTGATTTTTTTGTTTTTTTTTTTCGTTCAGTGGTATTCTTGTACCTGGTGGATTTGGTTCACGTGGTATTGAAGGTAAAATAGCAGCTATTGAATGGGCACGTACACAATCAAAACCATTTCTTGGTATTTGTCTTGGTCTTCAATGTGCTGTTATTGAATTTGCAAGACATGTTTTATTATATAAAGATGCAAATTCATCAGAATTTGATAAATGTGAACATCAAGTGGTATATATTATATTTATTCTTAGTGTTTTATTTTTTACTTTATTTATATTTATTAAATAGGTTATTGAAATGCCTGAACATAATCCAGGAGTGATGGGAGGTAAATAAATTTATTTATTTTGTAAGAAAACAAAAAAAAAAATAGTCAAGTATTTTATTTTATAGGAACAATGAGATTAGGTCGACGAACAACTCATTTTGTTACTGATGATAGTGTTCTTAGTATGTATCATTTTTGTATTTCAACTTCTAGCAGACAATTCATAAGAAAGGAATTCTTGAACAAGAAAAAAAAAAGAATTTAGCTATACAGACCGTCAGAATTTAAAAGAAACAAATGGTATTTTATTGGATGAACTAAAGTTTAGTTCTTTAACATCTATTAGACTTTACATAGAGATAGATTTTAATGAAAAAAATTCATTATGAAAATTTCAAGTCTTTTGATTTACTTCTAGTCTGAAATGAGAATATCGAATTTATCATTATAGATGAGCAATATAAAAAGATACCCTTTAAACATAGCTGGATTTTAAGATAAGAACAACGATAAGATCTAAAACATTCATAAGAAACTATTTTCTTCCAGCATTATCTCTATGCAAAATTTCAAGTCGAAATTCGAAAAACCGATCTTTCTATTACTAAAAATGCAATATTTCTGTAGCAATAAGCTAAGGGTCTGACATTTTTTCAGGATATTCCTCGTTCATTTGCTTTTGCATACTGTACGTATCTGTATTTTGTATTGATTCATTATAGAACAATTGCTTTCTAATTTGTAGAAAAACTCTATGGAAATGTGGATTCTGTTGATGAACGTCATCGTCATCGTTATGAAGTTAATCCAACATATATTGATGCATTTGAAAAAGCTGGAATGAAATTTGTTGGTAGAAGTGATGATAATGAACGTATGGAGATTCTGGAACTTGAAAGTAAATTAGAAAATTATTTTAAATCAAATAATACATTTTCTCGTGTTTTTAAGATCATCCGTATTTTGTTGGTGTACAATATCATCCAGAATATATATCACGTCCATTAAAACCATCTGCTCCTTACTTAGGACTTATTTGGGTACATACTTTACTTATATCTTAATTTTATTTTGATTATTTTTCTGTTGTTTAGGCTGCTTGTGGTGAATTGAAAAATATATTAACAGTTGTTACAAAACAACAATCACCCATAGATATTACAACTAAATCTCCTGGTCCTTTTTCTCATGTTAATCTATTTCGTCATACATGAATCTAAATTCATTGTTTTTCCTATATTGTTTAGGATAACCTTTATTGATGTTTCAATGTCTAAATTTCATAAAGGAAAATAAATCATTTTTCTTGATAAAAATCTATGTTAAAAAATGAACATAAAATTTAGTTTATTCAAAATTCATAAATTGCATCTATCATGTAAGGTTTTTGTTAATCAAAAGAAAAAAAGAATTTTAATTCTTTGTTGAAGTTTTATTTTGATCAGAATAGGTGAAATAATTCATATACAAAGTGGTGACAAAAAGTTGATTGATATCACATATAAAAAATATGTCAGTTTTGAACTGCTTTCATTCATAAGATGATTCAACATACAATCATATAGTAGGGTAAAGAAACCTTGAATGATAGAGTAACCATTATCATGACCATAAAGTTTTCTATTACTCTCCTGAATTGAAAGAAGATCCGCTGTCACTGCAGCATTCTTTGGGGCAATTAGGGCTGAAACACAGTGCGTCTTCTTCTTTCCATAATTTGCTGAATGCGTTAGAAACGAAAATAAAAGCACTAAGAGTATCCCTAATGCAGTGAGATTTCTAAAATTTTTCGATTAGTCAAAAGTTTGTGAGATATATAAAAATTAATTAACAAAAAGTTGTTACAAAAGAGTGAATATACACTCGGTTTTGACTAAAGTTGTAATAGAAAAGCTTCAGTTCATTTAAATCTAGTCTTTAAGAAAGGATGAAGAAAAGTTTTGGTTTTTTTTTTTTTTTTTTATAAAAAAAACAATCACGAGGAAAATAAGAAAGAATATGAAACATTGTCTTCTCCCGTAGTGTGTCTTCTTTTTCAGTGGAAATACGGATTCCGATTTTCTATTCATGTTCAGTAGATAGGAAATACTTCAAACTATATATCGATTAGAAAAAAAACGAAAACTTTAAGAAGTTTGGATCACGATTTGCAAAACAGAAAGCTTTCTTAAAGAATAACATTTTTCTCCTTTTTTTTGAGAAAATAATCATGCTCTGAAAGGATTACAATTCAAAACCTGAGTTATAACACTCAATCGGAGAATTAGTTTTTATGAATGTGGGTGGGGAGTGTGTGCCTGAGTTCCTATTTCTTTCTAACAATACACTCACATCCACCTTCAAAATGATCAAAATTGTTATAAAAAGACTTCTATGAAGTTTATCACATAAAGAATTATAGAATGAATTATATTCTTTCTTATTAAAGCAAGCAGAAAAACGCATACGCCCGTTGTTTCTATGATCGACTTCTAAAAAATTCATTTAAATCTCGATAATTTTCATGTAATTTGAGTAATTCTGCATGATAATTGGCTGACATTCTTTCTTGATCTTGAATGTCAGTTTCGGCAGTTCGAAGAGAGTTCTTCAATCTTTCAAGTAAATCGATGCATTGATGACGTTTGCCATATATTTGGAACATCAATATGTAATACGAATAGTGACCACGAACCTGACCAATATTTGCATTTATTTGATTCTTGTCATCTATTAATTTAGTAATCTGAGTGTTCAACTGAGCACTTTGTGACTCCTTGTCATCTCTTAGCTTCTTTCGGTAATCAACAAGTTCTGACCATGTTTTAGTAGCACTACTTTTGAAAGGAGTCGAACTGAAAACGATTTCACGAATTTGTTTCAATGTGTTTTCGTTTTCAACATTATTACAGTGAGTATCATTATAGAATGTAAAAAATTTCGAAAATTGATATTCCAACGCTTTACAGATATCATTAGTCATATTTTTGAATTGAGTATCAAAATTCATAGTCGGATCTTTTTCTAATTTCACTTTTTGTTCATCTAAATTGGGTATTTTGTTCATAATAAATGTGCAACATTGGTCATTGAAGAAACAAGAAGGCCAAGTCACCTATTGCAAAGCTACTGAAACGGAAAATGCTTCTGTGCTTTTACTTTTTGAAGTACGCATAACACTCGGATTTAAATCCGAGGTTTTCACATTTATTTAACAATAGAAGCACATTTTGAATGTAAATCAGATGGTTTAGGATGAAAACGAGGATCAATTGAATTTCAAATAAAATATTTGGGGGTATTATCACGAATTAATTCTTATAACTTTTCAAAATAACTTCATTAGTTAGTTTTGATATGAACCGTTTGCTGGTCCTTCCCATCAAACTCTAGTACAAGTTACTTGACCATTCTTTATCACAAACATTGAAGTGAATTGAA